TTGTTTTTATATTGATAATACAATCAAATTATAAACATATAAAATTAAAATATAGTCACACTATACATTCCAAAATAATAGTTACGTATTTTTAAATTTAAATTGCTGGGGTGAAGTCGTTATGATTATTAAGCTTGATACATTTAAATAATCGTTTAATAATTGTACCAATTATAAAATAATATGCATAACAAGATCTCTTATGGTATGGTTTAATAAAATCCTTTTTAAAACGGAACTTCGCTTTTGTTAAAACCGGTTAAGAGCATTGACTGCTGAATAATCGCACCTACGGAATAAAAATATCCTCATCTGATTTTAGTGTTACTAATTTTATACTATTACCGAGCAACATTGCATCTTCAGACTGCTGTTTACAAAACATATAAAAAAACGTCTTATGACGTCCTATGACTCGATTCAGATAAACATCGTAATTTTATTTCCTATTTTTATCAATACGAGATCATTCATCGTATAAATTTTATAAAACACGGAGATGCGTTATACACAAATATGGGTAATTATGATTATAGTAATTGGATGGGTTTTCAACGTGTTTTCGGCGTGCGGTGGTAACGAATCTTGTACATAATATTATTAAATTAATTATATAAATAAATATTAACGCATTCATATGTAAATTTATATATATATATATATATATATATATATATAAGTGATAATAATAATATTCATCTCTTCTTCACTCTCTTCCCCGACAAGGTCGTGCGCATAACTTATGTAACAATAATATTGTTTTAAATTATATAGTAATAAAATAATGATGTATTATTATTTGACAACAACAACAATAACAAAGCTAACTGTATAAAATATACATACTGGAAAAACCAGCTGGTGAGTAAAACACCATAGGTAAAAACGTATAACATGGGTTTATAGACCAATTAAGTGTTGGTTAATACCGCAAACTTATGAATGTGACGTCAAAAGCACTCATGAAATTTCTGCCGATAAGTAACACGGGTTTTACGCAAAAGCCCCGAGCGCTGATAGGACATTTTTAATTCGTTTTAAAGCAGATTTACTAAAAAAAAAAAAAATATTGATCGTTTAAAAATGAAATTACTCTTATCTATCGCACGTAATATTTGAATCTGTAAAATATCATAATACAGCGATTGACATTGGTATCATTAAATTTTTCTGAATCATTATAAGTCATATATCGGTTTAGATTAATAAGTTGTATAAATAATGATAAATGAATAATATGTTTTTGAAATATTATACATTTTACATGTTTTTCATTTATCCAATAGCATGGATTGCGTGAGGGGAGGGGAGCAATATGGGCAGTTGCCCTGGACCCCGCACTTTAAAATGTTGATTTAGGCCCCGTGGATAGAGGTTCAAAGACCCTGCAACATAGGTAGTGATTTATTTTTCCCAGGGCCCCGCAAACTCTAGCGCCGTTTCTGCCCAATAGCTATACAAGACGTAATCGGTGGCAGAATAATATCATGTTTCGCGTCGATTTAGCGTGTGTCCGCCGTGGACAAGGCCAGCGTGCCAACGTAAGAGATGTTTAAAAAATCGAATGTGAACGAGCAAATAGTAATAATGATATTATTATTAATATTGCACGTAATAAAGACACGATTACACGAAAAAAAAAGATAAATAACATAGGTTGTTAATAGTACCTATAATCACGGCTTAATATCGAATATTATTGCTGCAGCGAGCACGCGAATCAGTTGCATCTAAAACAAAATTATTTGTACTGTATGATCAGTGTACCGATATTATTGTACTTCTTAAATTATTTTATGGTCGTATGTAAACAAATAATAAGGTTTATTTTTTAGTTTTACTATCAAGTAAGAAAATTGATGTTTTCATCTAATATAATACATTGGTTTATCATATATATATCATACTTATATATTATGAAGTAACATTTTATTTATCAATAAAATAAAATAATAATTACGCTGTATTTGGTTCTTCGTGGTGGTAAAAAGAGTTATTTAATAAAATATTTCATAAATCCTACTGTAAAACAAAGTTATTGGTCTAATGCAAATTTTACTTATAAACTTATTTCTAGAAAACTATATATTAAACATTATTTATATAAAAAACATTATCGTAATTTCAACCATACGTCAAATATATTAGAATAACCATAGAAAAATCAAATTTTCCAAATAAATATGAAATCGGGTTATTAAACAAATTCTCGGAAAATAAAGGATTTACGAGAAATTTTGTAAGAATATTTTTTGTAGGTAATATAATATTCTATAGTTAAAGTTCTATACATTTTTATGGGGGTCTTATAGTTTTTGGTTAAAATTTGAAAAACCGAAAATCAACCCTCGTCAGTCATTTTTCAACCCTTTTGCGGCACGTGAAGGGGGTGAGATATCATCACAAAATTTAACCTAAATTATTTTCTTATAATAATGAATAAAATGGACGGGTGCTCTATAAAACATTTGAAAGCTTAAAAATAAGGACCACCCTAATATACACTATGGTTATTCAAATAATTTAAAATTAAAAAATTTCATCATATAAATAAATTGATTACTACTTACTAGTAATTGAGCTGAGTTAAGTATTTGTTTAAAAAAAATAAAATCTATCCTACAACAATGTTGAAGATTTTTATGAAACGTCATATTGTAACATCGCAACCATAATATTATTATCAAATATGTATTTGTTATACGATACTATTATAAATAAAAGCAAGTTTTCATTAACGCTAGTACCTATTATATTATTATGTTTGTCGGTCTAATTAGTTTGGGATAATATGGAGTAACACAACGATGATATAATATAATATCATGTACAATTATTATCGTTTATTTTTATTGTGTGTTTGTACCAAGTACTAATTTTTGTATATTTTGATTTTATTCAAGTAAAATAACTAAATTTATACAAAATGCAATAAATATTGTTTCAAATATTAATTTATTAATTAACAACGGTTATTTTTTTGTTTGCAGTTGATCTATTAACCCTGAAAATAAACGAGTGCAACTGGTTCATTGTAAAAAGGTCATCATATCAAGCGCAATCGGCAAATCTCCGCTGCGGCTAGAAGTAATTCCATACCCGGATGTCGACGATTAGGTATATGTAGTAAAAATTGCCCAACCGTCATAATAATTGTATTAGTATTATTACCTATATAGCTGCATGTGTGATTTATTTTTCACATCCGCATTTGCGGCACATGAACCGTTTTCCTGGATTCTCGCGACATCGGCTCTATATCATAATACTACACGATATAATATAGCCGTCGACCACTAACGCCGCACGAGTAAACGTAGACATAATAGTACGTAAATAATAATAATATTATGGACGAGATCATCGCATTCAAGGGCGCCCGGTATTGTCCTGTGTTTAATAATTAACGAAAAATCTCGGGCCGCTCGCAATCCGCCCGTTTTTATGACGACGTAGCAGATGCATTCCGTGCCGTTTGTTTTTCTTTCCATCTAGAACATTCGAGAGCGTTCGCTCGGGTTTTTTCGTACGCGAGTATGGCGAGTACAATGGTCTACGATATTATGACGAACGCGGGAAAACGAAGAAAACCTAAAAAAAAAAAAAATATATATAAATACGGTTTAAAAAACATTTGTTCCATTATGTTATCGCGATTTATGTCTACGCAGTCGTTTGATGTTGTTTTTCGTGATCCGACTACGCGACGACGACAACTCCAGACGGTAATATAGGTACAAATAACAATGCAAATTACCTAATGTAATATATTATAATGACTATGCATGCGCGTTTTTCCCGAGACAGATCATTCCGGATGTATTACACACACAATTATACGCAGAATATTCCATTTGGAGATCGTCCAAGACGAACAGCAAACAATGTACACATTATTTTTTGTATTATATAGTAAGTTCAAAAAATGTAGATTATTCGGCTCCCGTTTGAGTATATATTATTATATGCGTTTTGAGCTGAACATAAGACTTCGAGACCATTGTAATGTTTACTGTAAACAGTGTGCCGCAGCGTAGATTTCGGAGACTTTAACAGCGATGAGAAAAAAAAAACTGAAGTCGATTGAAACACGAATTATAATCTATCCGTAACTACACCTATTATAACGATTAAACTTTTCAATTTAATAAAAAATAAAACCGTATAGGTAACGACTATTAGTCATTAGTCATTACACATTTTAATTTTTAATAATGATTTAAAATATTTACACATAGCATTTATACGTCTATGTCTATTTATATAAATATATAATTAAAAAAATAGATATAGATAAAGAAACATTACATAATTACCACTTGTTATAATTATTATAATATTATAGTTTCGTCAATCATTTATTTTATTTTTATTCTCTTAAACGCCATTTTAACCGCTGATTATAACGAACTACGAATCGGAATAATCGAGTACCTAAATCTGCAGTTTTAAACGCTTAGTTATCTTATGAAACATTTAATAAATAATAAAAATACAGTCTATATTATAATAAATGTTTTTATTGTAATCTTATATCGATAAACGTCATCGTAAAAATAATCATAATATCATATTATGTATTATACGCTAGGATAATTTCAGTGATTGCTTATATGATCACATGTTCACATGCTGTGTAAAAGACACGAAAAACATGTAAATTTGGGGGAAAATAATAATAAAAAAAACAAGTTTTGGGCGTAGGTACTGGTATTTTATTGGCATTTGATATCAAACACGGCTAGAAATTCCAGAACGGATAGGATAAACACGCGTTGCAATATACGATGGGAGGAAATGCAATTTGTCCATATTATTTTATATTATCTATGTGACATCACTATAATAATAATAACTTGCTGGAACTCTCGGAACTCGTCGACCGACGTAGCGTGGTGTAACGTACACACTTGCGCACAAGTATACAATTATATGCGATTCTTAAAATATAATAATAATAATAATAATAATAATAATAATATTAAAAGAACGTTGAGAGAACATTAAAAAAATACTAATGTATACACAGTATAAAACAATTTAAAAACGATAATTATAAATTATATTATGTGTATTCATAATCTACGAGTGTGTATTCGCGTATATTTTACGACCGGAACGACGTTCAACGATTGTTTGTTCATCTGAGTCTGTTATCGTTTCGATAGTCCAATGGCGCCGAATTGTTGGCAGTGAATATGTATGGGTTGCGGGCCGTCGGACAGACGAAGTCTTTCATGATGAAGTCCATCGAGGTCTCCGATTTCGACCCAACGGGTTGCAGCATATTGTTCCACAGCAAATTGGCAGCTAGAATTTGAAAAAAAAATACCGACTATTAATATGATACTTGTGAGTAGTGATGATCAAAACAAGACTTTCAAAATCTTGGTCTTGGTCTTGCAGACTCAGTCTTGGTCTTGTGCAAGACTCTTGCTATTTTCACAAAATATATAAGAAAAAAAATACCTGTTATAGCTGTGTGTAGGTTTTTTGCTATGATCTCTAAGGTGAAACTATAGGTTCAATATATTATATGGTTTATTCATAAATCAAACATTACATAAAACAAGTCAAATAATTTAATTTTTATTATACTCGTTTAAAACTTTGCATTTTAAATTATGCTTAGGTATATTATTTTACTCGTATTTGTATTTGACGAATCAATTAACCAGCATGATTAACTTTGTAAGTTCTTATTACATTTATAATAAATATAAATAGGTTATTACTAATTACTAATTATTGACCAATATAATGTTTATAAAAATTAAATTGTTGTTTTTTTAATGTTCACTTTAACAAATAATAATATTTAAAAAAACTGTATGGTTTGTTCCAAATATCAAATTGCTTAATGATTATATATTTATATTTGTTATAATGATAATATTTATTATTAAAATTTTATTCTTCTTTTATTCACCAGTGTCCAGTACAGTAGTACTAAATGTTTAAGTTTCTTTTAATATAATATATTGGCTATAGACCATTTGTGTAAATCTTATTAGGTACATTTTATTTTTACAAAAAGTTTTTAATTATCTTAATGTCAACTAAGTTAAGTAGTAACATTGTATTTAAGATAAAGTGCATACCCACATTAGTAAATAAAACTGTTATGTACAACCCACAATAATTAAAATGTGTTACTAAATGTGGTAAATTATAATATTAATAATGATGTTAAATTAAAATTTTAATAATTTTAAAATTGTGACAACCGTTTAATTCTTACCATTCAATATTTTTGGTATACAACATCTTTTAAATATAAGTTTTGTTTTATTATTTAGTTTTAAAATTTTATTAAAGAAAAAAAAACAACTAAATCATTTATAAATTAAGAATAGTGCATTAATAATGCAATTATTATTAGTATTTTCGATTCAAAGTAGATTCCTATTAGCATGGCAACTTTTGAAAATTTGACGTCTTTATCGATTTTGGGAAAATAAATTAATTTTTCAGTAATTGCTAATTAGTATGAAACAACAATGTTATTTTGTAATATTAATTCCAATTATTTCTAATCTTTTTTTTAATAATTCGCCATTTCCTCGAATACTGATCAAATTTAATAACAATAAAAATATTTTCTTATTATTCTAGTTATAAATTAATAATTATTAGTTAATGAAATCTAGATAAACTAATGTGTTTTCGGGGAAAAAAAAAATTTGCAAGACTTGTAGTCTTGCAGTGATAGTCTTGTTTTGGTCTTGGTCTTGCAAGCCTAATCTTGGTCTTAGTCTTGCTAGACTAGTACCATCTTGGTCTTGGTCTTGCCGCAAGAGTTGCGAGACCGCAAGACCAAGACTAATTTTGATCATCACTACTTGTGAGGTACGACTTATTGCCGTAATATGTCGAATAGTGATTGGTAAGATTAAAATATGCAACTACGTGCGAGAGGGTCCGTAGACTACTACCAATTGGTGACTTGAAATGTTCAAAGTGAGTGTAGATGGTCAAAATATTATTAAATATTATTACAAAAGTCAATTTTTATAAAAAAATAAAATCAATTAAACCCATATTTTAAATGTCCTTGATATGGTATTTATGGAGATACATAAACATTTAGTTTTAGATAATAGTTTAATTATACTTTATAATAATAGCGTATTGTAAATTTGTATAAGTATAACCTTTACGATAGCAACGCAATAATATATAATAAACAACAATAATTAGATTTTTAAACTCGAAGTCATTAAATATACGATGAGATTATCAAAACAATACAAATTATTATTACTATACTAAACCTAAAATTTAATCATTTTTAAAATTACGTTTGTGAATTATATATTGCACATTATTCTAATTCTGTGAATTCGGTTTTGACCAATCTAATTAATAATTATCATATTATATTCAGGACGTTGAAAGCGTATAGACCTAGTGCAAGTAGTACGCGTAGGTCAAAAAATGTGTATAAAAAACAATAGACAATACCGAAATGACAAGAGCGAATATGATTTTATTTTTTATATATATAATATATATGTTAAGTTAGTATTTAAATAAATTATTTATGAATTGGAAAAAAATGTACTAGGGACAGAAAAATAGATGCTTGTTAGGAATAGCCAGCTAGTATATAGTGTAAATGCCTCATTATTCGCAAAACAAATTTATAGCTTATTCTGATTTAATAAAAATATGTAAGTGCTTGTAAATTAATATAAATCAATTATTTTTGTTTTTTTAAAGGATAGTTTGAACTTTAAAATAATTATAACACTACGATTTTTTGAATGAAAACCTTTATATTTTTAACCCGACCTAACCTGAAATAGAATTCTTTTCTAAAAACATAATACTTATTAATATTTGAAATATGTAAAAAAATTTAAAATTTAAAATTGATATACATATATATTATATAGGTAAGAGAAATATGTAATTCCAAGAAACATCTCACAAAATTTATGATACACTCTGCAAAAAATTATAGAATGTAAGAATGACAAAATGAAAATTATATTATTAATATAGTAGACATTTAGTACACGGCAAGTAAACAATACACATCTACAGAATTACACTGTCTAAGTGTTAATCAATTCTTAATTTTATAGTTAAGTCACGTGTAGCTGATAATGAAATCCACCTATCCTACAGTATATAAATCAATGGTCTTTAATCTTATTTTTGGCGATCCATTTTAGTTATAATTGATTTTTGTGACTCTCATATGTATTAAAATTAAAAAAAAAAAATGAGTAATAAGTTTTACATAAACAAAAATGATCTATTCTTTAATCAAATTATCATTGTAATTATTATTATTAACATTTTAATTTATTTGAATAATTTAATTAAATACATTTCAATTATTTTTCCACTTAATAAGAGAATTTTGTGATCCAATTTGGTCGTGACCAACCAGTTGAAGACAACTATTGTATAAATGTATAATGTATAGTGCAAGAGTGAAAAATATTGGACGTGTGCGTTTTTGACGAACGCTGCGTTATACCCACCTAAAGCGTGTCCCTTTTGACTAAAATGGAAACAATCGTAGGTGACGAAAGATATGTCTATGACTTCTTCGAACTGTCGCTTCTTGTCCAGCGGTGCATTGAACAGTTTGATGAACGGTTGGATGACTACGGTGAAGTCTTCTTTTTTGTTATACCGACCACTGTTGATCTACAAAAAAAATAAAACAGGTATATAAAAATGTATGTATAAAAACAAATTTATAAAGGTGAATATGTTAATACAATATTATGTTTAAACAATTTTTTTTTGTTTAAAAATTCAGCGGGAACAGGACTTGAAACTGAAATACATTTTAACGGTTTTAGTTGAATGAACGTTTTTTCTAAAATTTTACAGTTTTAGCAGTAGTGGATTTAAGCTTATAGAGAAATCAGGATTTTCCTGGTAGACCCACATATGTCCCCGATATCCTAATCTTAGCACCATCATATTATTTATTTAAAAATTCTCGGTAATATAAAATATTTCTATCCGCCACTGATCATTGATGATTTTATAAACGATTTTTAAATTTTTTTACAATGATTGGATTTTACTTCACATTTAAAAATTTGAATTATTTTCAATAATATTTTTACTGCAACATTTCTACTCATTAATAAGCAGTTTTATGAAGATGAACTTTATAAGATAATAAATATAATAAATCAACTTTTTTCATTATATTTTACCCATTTTATATTTTTACTTTTTTAATGAATGTTAAAGAAAGTTTTTAAAATATTAATATACAGGCAACAACTTTTAAGGTTTTTAATAGAATTAAATTATGTTCTTATTTTAGCTATACAGTTCTTTAATTATTAATTTATTTAAAAAAATAAAGACTTATTACATCAATAATTATCGTTAATATTTTATTTGTAAATAATATTAATTTTTTAATTTTTGTACGGCCACACTCTAAACAGTCTAAACGATCAATATTGAACACAATAATAATAGCTGTGTAACACTGGTGTTCTTTATTTAAAAAAAATATATAAGTAAAATATGTACAACAGAGCACAATATAAATATGTGCTAAGTTATTTGAAAAAAAATTAGATATTTTGTTGGTTTTAATTTGGGTTTTGCACTTTTGCAAATGGGTAGTTGATAATTATTCTTCCGGTTTTGGTTACTGTGTTAGAATATAAAAAACCAAAATTTTAACTGGTTTTCCAAACATAGGGTACAACTCTTGGAATAAACTAACCAAAATCTGTTCAGCAGTCTGATAATCTCGAACCATTTGCGTTATCTGATCCATTTCGTTACCCTTTTGGTGGAAACAAGTACAGAAGAATCTGTGTAGCATATGGCACATGAATGACCTCTTCACGCGCACGCTAACCGACACGTCTGCACAGATAAACAAGAAAAACAGTTATTATAATATTGATTTATTATTATTATTATTATTATTATAAGACATCATTTCGAAAACGAAACGTCAGATATGCTAATAATATTATACTATACACATTATGCGTGGTCGTGCGTCTGAACGTATAAAATATTATAATGTGTACGTATTTGTATTAGTGATGGGCTCTATTATTCGAATAGTGATAAGTGATAACTGATAAATATTAATTTACAGTTTATAGAGTTTATTATTATGACGCAATATCTACATATGAAAATAGTTTCATCCGTTAAACATAGTAGGTGGTTTATAAAACGTTTACTTGCAAGAAAAACACATAATAGCATTGCACACCATATCAGAGTCGTAAAAAGAAAAGAAATAAGAAAACTGTTGTAAAATAATACGATATCATTTGTGACTATATGCACGGTCAGTGTTCCATGCTTTAATTAGAAATTATTAAATCCAAAAATATAATATGCAATTACGTTATTGCTCACAGTTTTTTAGTTTCATGCATTATATATGTATACGCATTATGTTATATCACGTTACCTCCGTAAGAATAGTTAGATATAAGGCCTTGTATTGGGATATATTTCTAGATATAGAATGTTTTATGTGAAACATTAGTTTAAAAAATATATTATTAAATACATTTTATTTTGCTGTTTTATCGGTAATACATTATAATGATGGTTTTGTCTATATCAGTGGTTTTCAACCTTTTTAACAATGTAACACACTTCTTCTTCTACAACATTTTTGCGGCACACCATTTCATATAATACGTGAAGCATATATTTTTATATATAATACATATATATATATTCAAAATTAACTCCATTAATAGATTTATTGCGGCACACTTCAAAGGCGCTCGCAGCACACCAATGTGCCGCGACACACCGGTTGAAAACCACTGGTCGATATTCAAATAGAAATCTATCAAATGTTTGTATTATATTATTAAAATAAATTGAAAAAAATTTCAAAGAGATAAGAGTAATATTTAAAAGGGCACAAGTCTGTGAAAATAAAAAATAGGTCGGCCCTACAAATAACACGAAATAGTCGATTCATTTGTAATCATCGACAGCCCGCAATAATTTCATTTGTCTATTAATATTAATAAATTACGTGAGATACATTACGTTTTAACCGTTCGAATAATATATTAGTTTCCTTCACTCGTGTACATTGTACATGATTACAGTACGTTAAAAACAATGATATTGTATTATATTATATATACCTACCCACTATACGCGACACGAATACGTTCGCATTGACAATGCGCGCGCGAAATGGCTTTCACTTTCGTTTCCGATACAAGCTCTTTTGGAAGTTCATTTCATATGCGTAGCGCGTTTCGAGGTGATTCTATTTACACAATGTGTAATAATATGCCACCTCTGTCCGCGGTGCGACGGTATCGCGATACAACAGCCCACTTTCCAGATGCGATTTCAAAACGTCAACGATACGGCGAAAAAGGACGAACGGTCACTCGATAGTGTCAAAATAAATAATTTTTTATGTCTGAACGTGACACCAGAAATAATAATATAAGTATAATAACAATATCACCGACCTACAGAACACGCGTCGACCGATGCACATCGCCATCGTCGTCAACTAATAACGATAATAATCGATCTCGCCAGTAATCCGCGTGGCGACGATGAACAATGATAATTGGAAATTCGAACTTGGCGACCGTCAGGATCATATAATTATAGAAAACTATTATACTTTTGGGTTTGGCCTCCTTCAAACGTCTAATAGAGATCAGGTTTAGACACAATATTATACTACTAACATTATTCAACATAATATTTATGTTGATCTGTCATGCCTATTCGTATATCTGTGACGTTTTAGAGAAATAGAGAAAAGGGAAACAAGAGAGAAATATTCGAATATGACATTTTGAAAACAGCGATATTTTATCATATTATTATAATATCGAAACAACAATGTAACTCTCATAGTATTATGTTATGATTAGTTCTGCAGTTCGACGTTAGATACCAAAAGATTTACGTTTTTTTTTTTCCGATTGAAACGATACGATTGGAATATGAACGTATTTTCCCATTACGACTGATACTGTGCTGCATCGCAGTTGTCCGCGTGTATGGTGTTGATTAGTGAAAAAAATTAGCACACTATCTACAAACTTGATATCTGTCGACGAACTACGACCGATGCATTCCCGTTTGTATACGCTCATGCATCTCACACTGACGATATAAAATATGTGATACTGTAGAATAGCAATTTATCGTCGATTTTATAACGCGTAGAATTTCACAAATTGATCCGAAAAAAAAGGGGTATAAAATGATTGGCAGTATAAACCACGGTTAACGTTAAAAACAATTGACGTAATGCGGTCGCATTAAAAATAATACATTATTAAATTAAAATATAATATACCCCGGGTCTGAAACGTTATATAATTGTTTAATGACGCCCGTGGTGAATGAACGAAACACTACGGTTAAGATGACAGTGCTTTTTTTTCCATGTATTATTCTGTGGGTCTGCGTCGTGAAAGTGAATTGGCGCGACTCTCATTCATAACGAGCGTATATTAATAATAATAACACACACACGTATACATATAAGTATTTATAGGTAGATATGCCTGGATCGAACGACCCGTTCGATTTAATCGGGTTTACGGTATAGTGTGTTTCGCGAGTATGCGGTACCCCCCTCCGCCCTTATAACACGTATATCCACTGTTACCCTATCGACGCTTTAACCTTGCTGTTCGTATAGATACGTCGTACGTGCAACAGTGAACGCTGTTTTCACTTCCTACTGCTGATGGCGGATGCATTAGACTAGTAGATACATTTTAACTGAAACTAGACAAACATATTGTTATTATACCTTGGCCAGAGTCAAGTTGATAAAAATGTTTAGATTTCTTAAATTTTATCTGAGCTGTGCACTATATTTCAACTGCAACAGACTACCGGGTAAAGAAACATTTTGGAATGGGAGTGTGTCGGCACGCATCGTCTATTAAATCCTATCCCAGGGATTCGATTCGAAATTGACACGTCTATGTCTATACGTTAAACTGATAGTTATTGACCAATGATGATAGTGTTATCGTAATCACGCACTCTTCTGTATACCTACAATCTACATACACAACGTAATTACATAGTATTAAAGGAATATTATAATAACACACCTAGGACAGGTACGAGGTTCACAAACGTCCTGGGAAGATTGGCCTGGAGGTAGTCTAACGCTTTTTGCAGTTTCTTACTATGCTGCAACGGAGTCGTGCCATCCTTGTCGTAACACTGTCCCGAACATAAGTCGTTGGCGCCGAAAAACATGGTTATCAACTGTACACCAGAAAAAACAAAAAGACATTTTTATTCGCACATTCCATGATATAATATCATAAATAATTAATACGCATTTAATTTATTAAGTACGTTGATAACAGTGTTAAATTAACGATGTTTAAATTACATGTTGATTATGGCGTTTATATTAGGTCCAGCACTCCAAAGGTAAAAAAAAATAATAATTTAGAACTAACCTAACCTTACAGATGTACCATAAAGTATTGCACTGATTGAATAGTAATAATAACTGCTGATTTTTTGAATTAAAGTAGTATATTATTTAAGTTTAGTGTGCTCGACCTATGATATTATGCATGTACCTTCCAGTCGTTTTTGAAATCCACGTCAGGGTCTTTTTTCATTTTCTTCACCAAGAACTGCGCCTGTCTGTAAGCGTCGTAGTCAGCCGACACAGGGAAAGCGACGTTCATGTGAGAGTTGGGCGCGAGAAATTCGCCTTTTCCCACGGAATAGCCCTTCAGCCCGGGGTTGAATTCCTTGAGAATGTTGGGCAGCGTCAGGTAGTTCCGCCATGTTGCTTCGCCGCCTGCGGGTTAGGTTATTACACATAAACGAAATTTGTAGGTAGGTGTTATATACGAACACGTCATTATTATTATTATTATTATTATTATTATTATCGTATACTTACAGAAGTGTACAACGTAAGAAATTTAAGTCTAACCGTGTCAAACACGTCATTATTAATGATTGTAAAGAATTTCGAAATAAAAATACGTGTTTTAAGCGAGGAAGCATCGTTTTTAACTCCATAATAATACTTATTCATAAAAAATATTTACACTTCGGATCAATAATGTAATTTACTTGTATGTATTCATCGCACAGGATTTCGGAAAGTGGATATGATGACGTAATGAAAACACAACGAATGTACAAAAATAAATTCAACCAAAAATGAATAAATGTATTCTAAAGATAGAGTATCTTGAGTTTTGCACCAAGTTCTTGAACACAACCATTAAATATATAATACTATAATAGATATACTCTTTCTGTATACAGACCAAACAATTTTAGATTAAATTCTGGATTCTGTAAGATCTACCAAAAATATGAAAAGTTTGATTGTAAATAGCACACCAGAACAGAGATAAAAGTTTCAACATTTATAGTCTGTGGTAGTTAGAACGGTGTTCACCTGAATCAATGAAATAAAATAAAAAATTCCTAATTCTAAGCAGAATTTATAAAGCTCGTTGAGCGTTAACTTAAATCTAACTAAACGTATATCTAAACCATGTATTATTACATATATAGCATACAAGGCTACAGAATAACTCAAGAGTTTGAATTTCAACTTCAGTTAGATATAATCGGTATGAGTATGAATAAAAATTAGTAACAATCGTTTCTATATTATTTAACACGATATAGTCCTCAAAAGCTGTAAAAATTGTTATTAATTATTTCTAACTCATCCTATTTCAATTTTAGTCAACACGTTCTTAAAAAATCACTATAATATATTGTATTTATAAATAGAATAATATAATTATTCTGTGTTTCAGCTAGTGTTTTTTGCTAAAAAAAAATTGACAAAAATTGAAAGTTGATTATAATATCTAATAATAACATGGAAAACAAAATCAACCAATCAGAAATAAAGAACTACGATATGGCCGGAGGCGAAGGAGATGCGCGTAGTACGCAAAACTAGTACAACTACTGTAATGATACCTATCTAATTTGTCATGATTGTATCCATGTTTATGTATAAATATGGATAAAGTATCATGATATATGTATATCGAGTATATTATATTATGTTTAATGTGAATCTCCGTACCTGCTGCCCAAGACACTCCTCTGTACTCGATCAGCGTTCCCATGGCAAACTCCTCGAGAGCGCCGTTCCCGGCCACCAGACTGTCGCCCATGGCGCCCACTACGTCAATGTCACCGGGCCGGAGCCTGTGCACGCTGGTCGGCCGAACAGAGCTTCTGCCGATTCCCGGAGACGTCATGTTCTTGCACGGGAACGGCATCGATCCCGGAAACGACGGTTGCCTCCTGATTCCCGTGGGTCCAGGTGTCATGACGATGTCTTCGCTCACGGCTGGCGTCTGTAAGAGTAAACATAAAGTATTAATCGTAATTAATTACAGCCATTTAACGCTTCCGGAAGTCAGTATAATAACATATCGATAATAAGTAAATAAAACACATTTAAAAAATAAATATTTTTATTATATTAATAATGAACTTTGATTTAGTCACTGCTTGTTTTTTGTGAGTGCCTGATTTTTCTATACTGCAAATATCGATGAAAAATAAAGTTACACTATCGATTTACAAAAAGTCAAATTCAACTAAAATCGTCAGTTCTCCAAATATTCTCGTTAGCTAACATAATAGTTTTGTGGTACCACAGTAATTAATTGTATTGGATTACGCTAATGTTGTTTTGTTAAAACTTAATAAATTTGACAAAATCTGGTCACTTCTTATACGTACCTAATAATTTAACTAGGTACCGAAGAAAAAAATCATTGATAGATATATACATTTTATAACTTTTTGCATGTACTTATATTCGGTATAAATCGCTATAATATGATATGCGGTATGCATAATGTTATATTTTACATGTAAGCGTACCATTCGGATGTTTCTGCCATTGTTTCTGTTGGGCAAAAGCTGTTGATAGGTCAGCTTTTGGGCGGTGCACCACGTGACCGCGCAGAAATAAATCAAGACGTAGCTATTGGTTAACATAGTTTCGTTTGATGGCGTCGTTCATCGTGGGTCACGTTTCTCGTAAGTCCATTTTCTAATCTAACTGTGACAAATTAAACGAAAACTAATTAAAAAAAATAAATAATAAAATACATAATATAAACTACATAAATAGGTAAAAATCACATATCATACTATATATTATTAAAACTGCGTTTGACTCAGCAGCGGCTACCATATCTGAATCTCATTTATTATCTCATAATAAAAAATATAGAACTGTGGTTTTATCAAACATAATACATTAGAATTTAGAATATATAGTAGGTACTCATTTAACTTTTGAAACGGCCGCGGTTTTTTAACGATCACAATAGTGTATTTATTAAAATTACATTATCATGTCGTGTGCTTCGCACGTTTAGTACACAGTAATATTAATTATGTTTCGTTCTATTTCGTCTTAGACAGACAACGGATGACTAGAGTGGAATAATATATTATGTATATCAAGTTTATGTTATTATACACATACGCATTATTGTCGCATATGGGTGATTATGCGCGTTACCTCTCCGGTTAAATATATTATTATTATCTAGGCGAACATCGTCGTAATGTTTCGTAATGGCTACCAGCAGTACCAACGACGTTATTATTATGTGTTGGTTTGTACTTATTTAGTTATGAAAGATGGGTTTACTCTCCGTTTCTTTTTTACTCGGTCAACAAGTGTGGCTTAGTTACTAAAAATCTAAAAAAATAATAATAAAGCCGTGTAAATAATACATCGCACGCTGGGCGAGTAGTTGTCCAAATCGTTGCCAACTAATTACGTTTATTTGTGTCGCAGTTGTCGTGAAATACATACTCGTGCGTTCTTACAACAAGAAAACGCATTTTTTATTTTTATTCTATAATATATTATATTATATATTATTTATACAGGAACGACGCGGACCCGAAGCGAGGAGACAAAAGCCGACTGCGTAACTCGCGTCCCACTCAGTTCGTTCCAAATTCTGATTCCATTCGTGTAATTTGTGTAGGTATTATACATCATTGCATTACCGTTTTGGCGTCACATACTCGGCCAAATCACGCATGTGTTATAAGTGTTTATAATATTTTAAATGACAAGAGAAAAAATCGTCAAAAACAGTCATCTGTCAAAAGTCCATAGTCGGGTCGACGTTATTGCACGCGCAATAATATTTATACAAATCTGTCGTAGAGACAAGAGCATCAGTATAACGATACACTATAGTTTCTAAAAACATATCTATTTTAAAATCCTTACAGTAAAATGAGTGGTTTAAGACATGCTCTCTATTCCACGAATAAATTGAATTGTTTGATGCCTAAAATAATAAGATTATTTCATAGGATAATCATCGTTATTTTCCATCGATAAATGATGCATTTTCAATCCATCCAAATGTATTATATAAGTTAAATAATATACTTAAAAAACGGATTTCAGTTGCTTATTTAAATAGTCTTAACTTAACCAAACAAATTTTTTTACAAAATGTTGGTCAAAAACCAATATGCTTTTGTTTACAAATTTTGCTTTACTTTTTTTTTATCTGTAATATGCATAAAATATAAACATTAATAACTAGCTGCATTAACGGGGATAAAATAAGACCAAAATGGATAATCCACCTAGAGCGTATAGTAATAACTAATAAGTAACCTATTTTTCTTACATGTAATCAATTTCAAGTAAAACTAAACGAATATGCGATTATGTTTTAAGATAATTAATATCAAATAAGCAACCCCAAAAACTAGCTACTGATTAAATTTATTATCTAAACCTTCTTTGAATCATCAATAACAGTCAAGTATTTTTCGATACTATAAGACTGGACCATACACTTTGCTTTTTATAATGATAATGTTGTTACTTTAATGACCGTGACTTCTATTCTAATATTCTTAGGACTCATCCGAGATTCTAAATAATATATGTGCAAATTGATCGAAAACTATGAATTCACATATGCGTCATTTAAATATATCTTGACTAATAATATTTATTATTGTTTTTTGTCAAAAGGAAAGAGAATATTTTTAGTAAATAAACCTGAACTATTTGTCTTATACTCAATTCTACATTTATATAGAATATAGCTTTATTAGTTTTAATTAAAAAATATAAAAATTTATCTAACGATAATAACTATTTATAATTATCTATAACTAATGACAACCTTATATTATATAAACAAAAACATATTTGATTTTCGTGATCCGAAACAAAATGTATGTAATCTATGTGAATTGAAAAACGAAGCCATAAATCCTACGCAACTGTCAAGGAATCTATTGATATAACTTTTTTGAAAACGATCTAGTAGTTTTCGTGTCTTTAAAATATTGATGTATAGGTAATATTTAGTTACAATTTGTCGTATATCCGTAGCATTGTCGTATTTAATCCGAACCGGTCTGGGCACATGTATCAGACCTCAAGAGGTTATGTACCTATTATTTGTATCGCGGTATAACGTTTTATAGGCATAAAGAGTAATGGTTGAATGGCCCATTAATTGAGTGCCGTTAAATGTTGTCGAAGACATTAAAAATATAAAAAAACACGTTCACTTGTCAAACGTCGCGTACCGCTACCGCCGTTGGGGTCGAGATTCGCATGCACGTAGAAAACCGCAAGCTTTCTAATGAGTTTTCTAAGATCGTAAAAATAAATAAAAATAAATGAAACACACCGATTGCCATTAATACATGGTCAGACTATCGGAAACGAAACCCTAAAGCCCGTCAGCCCCGGAGACATCAACGAAAGTATACAATATTACACATATTCTAAAGGGCTACTATTTGTTTTCTATCGTCGATTGGGTATAGGTATGAATAATATTACGATTACGATTTTACGTAAGTACTATGTTTATTTACTGTTTTTGGATTTTTAAGATAAAAATTATATTACACGCGATATTACATCATCATCGAATCAATAAGACCAACAATTTTGTAAGATTTACGGTTTACGACAATGACGAAAAAAATCATCCTATATCAATGAACGTAGAAAACCATAAAAATGCACTGCAACAACAATGATAAATACAGTATTATTATAACGGTCCCCACCGCAGTATCCACTAATTGGATTTCGTTGTGTACACCAATTATTACTATTATATACATAATATATGGTATGCGTTAACCGTAAAACGAAACTCGAAGTCAAAACTATTTCGATATTCCAAAGACAAATTACGCGCGTGGTAAAAATAAATCGCACTCAACACGAGCGCGCGTGAGAACTTCAACATGTATTGTGTATATAGTATGCAGTCTGCGTATATATAATAATCATTATCACGGTCGTGTGTCTACGCGTACTTCTATACGTAACAGCGACGGTCATTTTCCGTCTGGCGACCACGTCGGCGGCGGCTACAGACCACGACAATATCAATCATTACCGTCGCGAATCCCGAGTAATTTCCACATTAGGATCTATTATACATTAACGGTTCTCAACATTTTTTGTTCGCAGAGCCCTCGAGTTTCTGGATAAATCTATACGGGAACTTCCCCCCCCCCCCATTAACAATGAATATCGATTTTAAATCAAAACTATTACGAATCGTGATATATAAATAATTGTTAGGACCGAAGTGAGGTTTGTTTTAAATCACTTATGACCGTACTTCAGTAAAGTATTTAATTTATTGGCGTAAAACATAAACACTTAAAAATTGTATAAATATTGAAAATTATAGTAATTGATAAACATGATTAATAAAAGGTAATATATGTGAACACTTTAACTAGCTATGACGCTACTAAAAGGTCAACACACAATTTAGGTCTGTCGTTATACTGGCCCGACCGTGAAGATACAGATAATAATAAAATAATAATGAGATAACGTTTAATTGCCGTAATATCGGTCTGTCGAATATTTGACATTAAACGTTATTTCGGCTTCAACAATAATAACAGTGAATTTGACTTAATTTTAACGTACTTACGGCTCACGAACGCCTAGCCCAGTCTGGCAGAATTCTAAGGTTCCAAAGATCACAGTTTGAAAACCACTATAGTATAGTTATAATTTTAATATATGCTAGTATTGATTATGCAGATCATCGCGCGGCATTGTAATCATGATTGTGGCTTTGACATCGAATCTAATCCACCGGAGACATTGCAATCTACGGCGGCAGTTATATTATTATAGTGATATATTTTTATTATCATGAAAAATGGAACGATTTATTTGCTTCTTCGAATTCCACGAGCAATCAACCGGTTCCAGATGTAAATACGAAAAAAATAACTAAGCACAGAATACTACAGATATCTATTTGATCTGCCAATTTTGTATCGTATTCACATATTTTATGTGACGTATTTAACAGATAGTTATAATAGTATAATTTACCTAAGCACCATGTGTGCATATCACAGATTATAGCCGCATTACATTATAATGCGTGCACATGTATAACGCATCGGATCAGAAACAGGATTTTCGTCCCCCTGTTGAGTTTACCGGAAGTGGAATCGGTATATACATACTGTAACGTCCCCTCTTCACATAGGTGTTTGCGACGCTCTCGCGTCTTGCCTATAAAGTTATGTTTTGATTAACGAGGTCTCGGGGACTCGACCTCGGTGTGTAATATTAATATACTAGATCAGGGTTACCTTATTTAAGTAAAGCACAATTGTATAAAATGTAACGTATATTTAACAGATAATTTAAGATTTATATAATAGAATGAAGGTTACCGATCCGGGTAGATTGACAAGCCGTGAGTGTGGATGGTGGATGGCTGCACAGATCGTTGAGGAGTCTTCTGGTCGTCTGTCTGCTCCTGGTGTCGCACACACACTCCTCGCACACACTCTCTTACACTACACGTATTCGTCCTTGTTATATACTTTTAACTGCTGCCTAAAAGCCTTAGGTCAGCAGTCGGCCCCGCTTGCCATTCCTCACACTCAGCATTTTAATAACGTGTGCCCTACTTAAGGAATAATGTACGATGTCGATAGACGACAATCGTTACAATACATAGACCATAAATATTATCGGTCCAATACTTTCCAAACGTGAACATATTTTAGTAAGGCCAAATATACAAATGCACGAAAATATTATTGCGGCGCACACGTACAATATTATCATATAATAAACGCGCTTGTACACGTCAAAAATAAAATGATAATTACGGTTTTGATGCATAATTGCCCTGTGGCCAATACTATACATCAAGTTAGGTTAGGTTAAGTTAGTATACCTGAAAAATATTTAAAAAAAAAAAAGTATACCTAACCCAACCAAACGGTGGATTCGTATGCGTGAGCCACTGCAGTAGCAAATAAAATTTTCAGCGTTAATTATGTTCAATAGTTTTAAAACAAGTGATTAGTGATTACTAGCTATTATTACGATTCCATCAATACTGAAAAAAAACATATGCAAAAATATCGCGTTAGGTGTTAAAATAATTTTGAATATTATGTGCGAACCTGGCTTTGTAATTTGTATCATATATATATATATATATATAATCAGAAGCAGAATTTCTTTCTACGTAGGCACGTAGACTTCTCTAATGGATTTAACAACTATACGCCCTTCGTTCGCAATATTTTAGCCGCATCATTAAATGTTATAACGTCTTCAACCAAATAAATGCTTTCCGCCACAATTCCCATCGCACTCTCATCCATTAACACCGCTGTATTTAATCTCAAACAGACGCGATGCGAATTTCTTTTATAGTTTCAATTCATGTCCCATCCCTAAACCATAAAATATTTTTTTCTCTGATCTCTGATCGTCTGCAAGTTTAATAATTTAAGTACCAATTCTAATGCTCACTTTCTTATAACAGCCAACATTTTAACTCAATCGAATTACAATTAAAATAACCCAACGACCTTTTGCAATAACTCGGTAGTCGGCTGGTACCATAGTATAAACGAAATTAATTCAGTTTAAGTGATATTGACTATAACATCTATAACCATATTTGAAATGCATTCGACGTGTAGGAACTTATACTTTATACAATTTACCAAAAGTAGATAACCAATTCAAAACTTTAGATTGGTTTATAGGTACATTTGACAAGTTAATTTATATAATGTACTAATATACATAAAAATAAATTATGGTATTAAATCGTTAATGTTCACTTCCCCAATATATTTTTATAGTTTTTTACATAAGTGAATTTGACCGTTGTCAAACATAAATTTTATCGAAAAAAATTAATATACTATAATATACTTTAATATTTAAACCTATGCTATAAAAATAAAATATTTAGGTACTATTATAGATAATACAAATTATAAATGCGATACATTGTTGATATGCAACAAATAATAAATCACATAGCATTTAAATTTCGATCTATGTAGTATAGGCATATGTGTCATAATATTACATATACTTATGTAATATGTATATGCTCAAACGAAACTCGCTAAACTCGTTGAAAATAGATGCATATTATATATTTTATACGTATATACATATATTTACGAATTTGGTGGTTCGGTTTATTATGCATAATAATATAATATTGTATCGGAATGCGTAGTGTAATTATTATGAAGTGTTAATTTATGCAAACGACGTTATGCGACGTATACGTTTGGAAAGTTTTGTGCCACAAATTCCCGAAAATATCGCGACTCAAAGTATGGCCCGGAGGTAGCGAGGAATAAGAAGTTTGCACGGGTACGGTTTACCGTGAGGATTGTACCATTTGTACTTAATTATGATTGTAATAATATTATATTCATTACACTACAAAATGATACTACTATTGTACAATATACTGTATTTACCGAGTCCGGGTAGGTATGCCGCGTATCTGCTGTCACGTGTATATAAAAACCTTTAAATATGCTCGCCATACCTACCTTAAACATATTATGCTCGTTGGGTTATATTATGTACTTATGACGTCAGACCGGTTGGTCTGTTAAGAAAAATAATAATAATAATAATAATTTTGATAATTTGTAAGATCGCGGTTATGTAAACGATGACCCGACGAAACCAGATCACCGCGTCGTCGGCATACATACATTATATTATATATTTATAGGTATAATATATATTATATACTCGCCGCCACCGTGCCGTATATTATATATATTTATATGTGTGTGTGTTAGAAAAGCAGTTATTGTATAATTGCACACGTTTACCGATAAATTCGCGAATGAAATCGTACAGAAATATATATATTTTTTTTTGTACCTGCACTCGTTGAGCATATTGCTGTAATCAAACGCAAACTCGATTTGGTCATAATTGTTGCGTGTAATTATGTGATTATGATTATTATATTATACACTGGAAGACCGAAGAAGTGATAAGTATTCTCTACAAAGACGAAAACGAAAAGCGACATATCACAAAATTGTCGCATCCATGTAGCGCGCCCAGACGTATTTTACAATACGCATTACGCATGATTTAATGGGTTTAGGATCCGTGCGCAGAGGTTAGGTTAATAATAATAATTATTATTATTTTAATATTAATAAGGAAAAAACCGGAATATAAGAAATAATGTGTGATTTCCATTTTTTTTCACTTTCTATCCGGTTGTCCGACGAATTATATTATATGTCAGCTACATCATGGCAGATGGCCATGGCGATTATTCTATAGGGTTCTTATTCGCCGCTAAACGATGACCATTGATCAATATATATTCCCTAATACATCGGTCAGGGAAGGGGGTTTGTAAGGAACTAAAGGAAAAACGGGTTTTGACTGGCTGTACATGTACAATAGTAAGTCTGTATTATGTTCCGTCCGGCGCTGCAGCTAAATATATTTATGTTATAGTGGTGCATATATCATGCATGTTGTATTATTTTTTGGTTCAACATCTTATCCACCGAAACCGGTTCGTTCGAATGATTAAAAATCGAGAGTATGTATATTTCTATACAGTAGATCGTAAGTGAAAAAAAAAATCGGAAACGAAGGGAAACAAAAAAAAAAGCTCGTCAATATTGCTTCCCACGCCCAACTTTATAAGAATGTAACGATTGCAGACATTGTAGTGGTTGTAAACAACGCTTATACATAGATATTACGAGTTCGAAAACTTTTAAGTAACGACAATCGTCGTTGACATAATATGACCTATTCCGTATTCATTATAGATATTGTATAAGTGGCCGCGGTAACGGAGTTTTTAGACTCCTGATCGCAAAAGACGTTTCGTTTTTCACTTTTTTGTATACACGTGTAAACATAAATTGCAAAAAAAAAGTACGTCGTACGAGTGTTATACGGCTCGGCCAATCGATTTAATAATAATAAAACATTACATTATTATGTGCCACGGTGTATGGGTTAACACTGTGTACGTATAAACGGTCATGACATATTAACAATTGATTGTATACGATCTACGCATATAATAACGTATTCTTTATGTAATAATTAAATTAAAATACAATTTTACATTAGAAAGGTTATATGCGAAATATATGTGTTGATCTCGATAACTGCATTATTATATTGTTATATAGTTACGCGATATCCCACGGACGTGATTTGGAACCGCAGAACCTCATCGAATATTCAATAACATTTATTATAACGATAAAAAAACCACTGTATCGCTAAAACGCCAAAAATAACTACGCGTTGCACATTGTGTGCATTATCATTTGATGGTATAGATAGACCGCATTAATGAAGAAAAAATTTTATTTTCTTAATAGATTATGAGCTGTATTTACACCAATGAAAAAATGAAAAAAAAGCATTTTCGTGGCAATCAAGAAAGTTAGGTTAACCTTGCAGAAAAACGGTCAGACAGACGTGTTAAAAAAATGTAGGCACTCCGGAACTGCATAATCTGCACGTGTAATCATGAGATATCGCTTGAAAATTACTCGCGACAACGATAACAATTTTATACCTAATTATGTTTCGCGAAAAAGGCGATCATTTATTTTATTATTATTGTTAGTATAATACATGTATCGATTAAATAATAGGTACGGGTCGTAAAAATTAAATAAACAGATATTAAACTTGTGTACAAAAACCGCTGTGCGAGTACTTACCAGATCGAGATCCAAGCCGACCATGAAGCGTGGTCCTCGCGATGAGAGTCGAACGGTAAATAACGTCGTCGGCGAAGAGATAGCAGCGCACAGGTAACAGATACTATAACAGACTCGTATTCACACTCAAAAATATTAAGGTCGAGCGGGGTGGGTGAAAGGGCGGTGTCGACGGACTTTTATGGTACGCAGAGGGGCCGGGAGTGTGCGCGTGCGTCGGTCGCACGACGCCGGCCGGTTGGTCGCAGAGTGATCGGACGGGGGCAATTACGAATGAAAGAAAAAAATTTCCATAATTATTATTACAATCATGATAAATGACGATAAAACATTTATGATAATAAAAAATAATGGCATATGAATTCGCTACCGTCGAACCGAGTCGTCGGGCTGGGTTGCGGGCTAGCGGTTTCGACCCGCGGGGTGCGGTTCGACCGGGCGCGTGTGCACGCCGGACTTCCGGTAATCCGGTAAAGGATAAATCGGGTTTGTGCGTCGCTAGAGGAGTTTATTCTACACGCGCGGGTTACAACTCTTTTTTTGTGCGCGCCATAACGTCCAGTGCTCGAAATCCGGTACCAACGTTACCGCGTGTACGTCATTGAAATACACCGCGAACGCATATAAGACCAAAAAAATAATAACAACACTAAACCCGATTTAATATTCTCTCAAAACATTGTGTAAAAAAAACGTATCGTGGTTAAATTAACAAATTAATAATTATAATCGCGAATGGGTCACGGTAACATTAAAAAGTAAACATACGATGTATAATAAGATATGTACAATAGTTGACGGCAATCATTATTCTTGTGCCGCGGTATCGATGCATGGCACCAATATTAAAATGTGTTACTTAACTGTGCATTGGATGTTATCAACCGTGAGAGGAGTGAAGTTGACGCAATAATTACGATTTAAACCAGTTAAGTCTTTACTATAATCAACTAGTCGACGTTTAAAAGTTGTAAAACGTATTAGTTCTAAAAACTTTCGCCAAATGTCCCACGTATATGTCGACCATGATATTATTCACAACGCGGAGATCGAAAATCGTCACCAAAATGGCCGTGTAGTGTGTAATGAAACCATAAAAAATAATACACGAGGGCTTATAATAAATGCGAGTGACGGAGTTCTGCGATCGGAATAGCGACCAAATGAGGTTAGTTGTCGATCTGATTACACGTGTAGTTTAAAAGATTACTTTACTAAAATGCAATCGTATTAGCTTTTTAAAATCCAATCATAAAAAAATGTAACTGATGAGTGATGACCTATTCCACATAGAAAATCATTGATTATACCTAGGTATATCTTTTCTAAAATCATTAAAACCGTGGTACTACAGTAGG